AGAGGCATTACAAGAAGGAAACAGAAATCAAAGACAGAGATTTTCAAGAATGGGGAATTGATCAAAATATAGCAAAGCTATGGAAAAATGGTAAAAGCAGAAAAATGTATGTAAATTATACAGGTAGTATCTCTGATTACAGATGTATAAAATGCATATATTGTTGAGTAAAAAAAATAAAAACTACTCTTGCAAATTTCCTTTAGGTGTATTTGAGAAGCAATATATTTCAGAGACATTTTTGCCTGATAAATTGCAGTTTTCTTTCCTTTATTGTCATCTGTCAGATTATGTAATAATGGTCTGAATTCTTTGATTTGTTATAATCAGCATAATGAAGAAAATAATTTCACACTGAGAGAAACAACATCAACATTGCACCAGCATTAGTTAGCAAGCACCTTTCTACATGTAAAATTTGAGTGCCTGTGCTGGCCTTTACCCCGAAATTCAGATTGTTCCTAGATGTTATGGAACTAGAAAATACAATATAATTTCCCAAAGTATCAATTAGAGATGAGTCATGCTCTGCATGGTGAAAGGGTCTTCTTTTGAAGAAAGCATTTTTTAGCTTCAATTGTGAATGCATTTATTACATACCATTTATGAGCCAGGCACAGTGCCTAGGTGCATCCTCCAGAGAACTAACAGACTAAGAGTCATGAAACAATTAAGTAATCACTTACAAATTCAAGTGCATTTAAAATCAAAATGAGTGGTATGGATTAATACCGAAGTGAGGTCAAGTAGAAGAAAGATGAAACTACTGATCAGCAGCAGACTATAGTCTTAATCTCCCTGGAATTAGAGTTCCTTTTTAATACGATAACAGGGAACCCTGCGGGAAAAATGGAGATACAGAGCTTTTGCAATGTGGGTTTTGGCCAGAAATTCCTACAGACTTGTACCTCAAGGGTCAACATGAAATATATTATTCTGATTGGAGTCTGAGGCCCAGGCATCATAGAGATATTTGCCTTCACAATCCAAACGAACAGATATCTCCAACGAGTACCATCCAAAGATCTGGGCATATGAAGGTCCTTCCTCAAATTCCTCAGCCTGGGTCTTAGGTAACCTCACAGTCTGTAGCACCTCTCTTGAAATTCTCTAAAACCTTCCTTCTGGTGCCTGGGAGAGGTTGGGGCAGGCAATGCCATCCGGGCAGAACACCCTCACCCAAGACCTGGACCTGTGTAGGTCGAGTCTCTAGAAGCATTCAAATTTTTTTTTTACCTTTCAGAACCTGTAACTAGCCAGGAAGGCAGTGCCATCTGGGCAGGGTGCCTAATCCAACCAAACCATGTGCACCTGTGTCCCTGTTTCTCCCTAACTCCCTCCCTCGTATCTGGGGTTGACCAGATGCCTTGGGAAGCCAGCGACTTGCCTATGGGGTTGTTCTGGACCAGTGGCCTGACCCTGGTTCAGAAGGATGGTCTAACAATTGAATCACTCACTCCTGCTGTTAGAATGGTATCATATGAGATTGGACCACATTAGATTGTCATCCCACTAATTTTGGGTTACTCAAAATGTTTGTATAGGAAGGGGTTGGAAAAATATTTGACTAGGCCCCTCACACCCTAAAAGTTATTCTGTCTCAAACACTTCCAAGTCCTTGACAACCTCACAAAAGAGAGTGTGCCTGAGTGATAGAGTGCCCAGAGAACTTCACTGAGGACATGAATTTTGGCTTGGGCTTTTGCATATGCAAGCACTAGGGGGCCACTGACAAGGTGATAAGCAATTTATTATCTGAATGTACACTGGCTCATGGGACTCGAGCCTTCTATGCCTGAGCACTTTATGCCATGAGATGGATGGAGTTAATGATGCTCTCTCCATATTCCTAAGGGGTCTCCTGGAGAATAAGTAACCCTTAGTATCCACCAGCCAGTGTTTCTCACTGGGGACTCTTGCCATTTCAAGATGGGCAAACTAAAGAATTTTCTACTCATTGAAGGAAGTTTAGATTTCTTGTCTCCTACCTAATATATATCGGTTGCACTTTGCAGTCGTTGTGACATCTAAAAATGTGGCCCTCTTCCTCCATCAACATATGCAAATATTTACATTCCCTCTGGAAACTGCTACTGTGTCCAGTATAGAACCACTACTATATAGCACTGCTGAACAGGAATATAATGCAAGCCGCAAATATAAGTTACATATGTAATTTTTAATTTTCTAGTAGCCATATTAAGATAAGTAAAAAGAGACGGGCGATTAATTTTAATAATGTATTTTATTTAAACCAATATAGAAAAAATTATTATTTCAACATGTAATCAATATAAAATTATTAATTAGATATCTTATTTTCTTTTTTTTTGGTACTAAGTTTTCAAAACCTTTTGCATATTTTATACTCAGAGCGCTTAATTTGGACCAGCCACATTTCAAGTACTCAATGCCATATGTGATTAATGAATACATTGGTCTAGATGAGTAGATATTCCTAAAGTCCACACAGCCATGGGATCCCACTGATGCCTAGGAAAAATTGAAGCAGACTCTCACCAGATTTAGATAATCATCCACAGAGTAAAAGAGTTCATAAGCTGGTTTGACTGAGGTCATCCTACCAGTTAGCTGGTCAGGTGGTTGGAAAGACGAACCTGGGATTTATGGGGCAGATGGATCAGTTCTATGAAAGAATGTTTTTCTCATCTAGAAATGTTTTATTTGGGCTTAAAAAATGCACATAATTAGACTTTTGCTCCTGCTTAAGGGTACGGTTCTACATATGCTGCTTAAAAATAATTTTGCCTACTTTGGCCTTAAGTGTCATTTTCTATTGGCATTTTCAAACAGGATGTGTCGACAATTCTTTATTAAATTCTTTTCAAAGGATATTAGATTTTGAAGTGCTCAGAGTATTTCCAAGCTCCTCATGCTTTTTATTTTTATAATTTTATTTATGAGAAGAAAAGTCTAATATCTACTTTTTCTGGGTCTAGTTTTGACTCACAAAATTCCTCTAGAGCTCTCTGTTTCTTCTCCAGAGTGTTATTTTTTTTAAAAACTGTTCTTTTCTCTAATTAAAATGTTGGGTTCTTGAAAAAAATTTAAATCATAATTTATATGTTCTTTGCCCAGAAGGGCAAAAAGCCTGGTTCATTCAACCGTGTAGTGGTTGAAAATACCTCATTGTTTATAGAATGGGTCTACTCATCAATCTCTGTGTCCCCATCTGGACTGATCAAGAATTTTTAACTTTTTTTTTTTTAAGAATTTTAAACTTTTAAGTGAATCATTATTCATTTCCATTTATGTTTCAAGAGAACAATTTTATTGTTAATTGCAGATTGTGAATAGTAATTTATGGACATACAGTAGGGCAAGTATACCAATGAGAGAAATAAAATGAAAATATTCACTCACTGTGCATAATGGAAATTCCCACATTTAAAAATGTTTCCTGGGCTTCCCTGGTGGTGCAGTGGTTGAGAGTCCACCTGCCAATGCAGGGGACACGGGTTCGTGCCCCGGTCCGGCGGAGCGGCTGGGCCCGTGAGCCATGGCCGCTGAGCCTGCGCGTCCGGAGCCTGTGCTCCGCGACGGGAGAGGCCACAACAGTGAGAGTCCCAAGAGTACTTTAGTCAACTAGTGGATGACTTTCCTAATGATACCAACAACGAAAATCATTCACAATAAAAAGTTCTTTAAGTATTAATTGCATACGTGCATAATTGAATAAATTTCAGTCCTCAAACTCTGAATCCCTGAATAAGATCTAGACAGCAATCAATGTGTTTTCAATTAAAGAGGACTTTCTTATAATTATCCAGTTCAGTAACAGAGTTAGTAGGCTATGAGATTAACTTATTTATATCACTGATCCAGAATTAATAATACTGAGTATTTAAATTATTTGTTAAATGAATTATGAAAAATAATTACAACAAAATTATCCTTAATAGTACTTATTTACTGATATATTGGTGAATGTTTTTGTGTAGACTTTTAAGAATTAGTATTAACTTAAATCTTTCTACTTAATCTTGAGCTTAAATGGAAATTTAAATCTCTTCCAATTAAAATGACTTAAAAATAATGAGCATTTTTCATTTACCTTGACTTCATGTTTTTCACATAGTAAATAGCAAAGAGAAAACAGAGCCCAGGATTAAGTTCTCATTTTTCAATTACAACAGATAATTTATGAACAATGATATGTTTAAAGATACTAAATAATTGCTTTGTAAAGTTGTTTGATGCCCAACACACTTTCCTTTCTTCCTTCTCTTATTCCAAGGTTATATATATATATATTGGATATATCCCAAAGCCAATAAAACTGACACTACATCAAATAATTTGTGACCTGCTAGGTAAAAACAAGTCTTACCAGGATCTTTTGAAGAAAGATTTAGAATTTTTTCAGGTATTATTATAAAAATTACAAAACAAAACAAAGCCTGCCAGAACATAGGAAGTTCTGGAAGTTACGTTGGTACTGAAGGATATAGGAGTCATCCAGGTGAGCAGAAGAGGGTTCCAGAACAAGATACAGAAAGTTTTGGTAACTCAGCAAATGTTTCTCCATTCTCTCAACTTGGAATTGAAGACATACACCTGAGTTTCTGCTCATTGGGCTATCATTTATTTCATTATATATGAAAAATTTCACACGTTTCAAACATTGAAAAAAACCTCACACACTGCACAGTTTTTTCATTTTTCATAAGGAAAAGTAGACCTCATAGCTTTCAAACTATATATTCAAGTGTTTGTCAGTATACAGGCTACATGTATTATATTGCTACTAGGTGCAATTGAATGGTCTACCAAGAGGTACCTTTTATTTTTTTCATTGTCTCAGCGTATGTTTATGTATGTACCCATGCCATCGAATGCATATTGTGTTAGAAATACAAAGGCAGGCCAAAAAAAAGAAAAATGTAATACTAAACAATTGCTCAAATAAACTTTTAAAAATTTAATTTCAGAATTGACACAATATATCCAACCTAATATGAATAGTTACTTCTTCACAGGAGGCTTTATGGAGACTGAAGCTGCAGCTCAGGAGTCCCTGGGGTTAGGCAAACTTGGAACTCAAGCTGAGAAGGATAGAAGACTGAAGAAAAAGTAGGTTTGGAGATTTTTTTTTTTCCTAACTTTTACTTAGTGTCATTGTTTGTGGGGAATTGAAAAGAGAGTAATTGGAAACAAAGCAATAGACAGAGGCCAGTAGTGTCCTGGTCTTCCCTAAAACTATTTGGTGCACCAGTTTCATGGTTATAATGGGCTAACTATTAAAATAAAAATCTTTGGCCCATAGTAGAAGTAAAGTTTTTTTCTAGAGATCATTTATTTCAAAACTCAAATATATTTAAAATATTCAAATGTAGCCATACAAATAATGTAATATTCCATTTGATGTTAAATTCTACTGAATTGGTATGATAAAATGAGAAAGTATCCAACTTTGTGTTCCTCTCACAACAATTAAAGGCCCTCCTCTTAAAATGGAGTATTTAAAAGGAGAATGTTTCTCTGACTGACTGAACATAAACTTATTTTAGACTCACAGCAGATTGTTTTGCATCTGTCAGGAAACTGATAGTGTATTTTTTTCATTCATGTATAATATGGAACCTTTAAATGACTTGCAAAACTGGCAATTTTGGAGTCTCAGCAGCTGTTAGAAAGCAAGTGGGTCCATATATAACATATTTTTTAAAAGCTTAGTAACATTTTCACTGATGAAATAGGACCTTTAGACCATGTTGTTTAAAATCCAAAGAATTTCTCTATATCCCAGAATCATTTGGTTGGTTACTTCTTTTCTTCCCTCTCAAATATTACATTATGTTTATAGTTTTCATATTAACCTTCTTCCCTATGAAAGAATGTTCATTGCTTTAGGCATCATTATTGTAACATGGTTATATTAGTCATGCTAATGTGCACGTGGTTATACTAGTCAGGCTAATTAATTTATTTCATATTTTGCCTTCTCACTTGCTTTGCAGATGTTTGCTAATAATGAAGAAATATGTAGTTACAAGTTGTACACAAGTCCACTAGTCTAATTGTGTCATTAATTTTCTACTTACTAAAATTAGTTATATACCTAAATTTAGTAGAAATACTGTTCAGAAAAAAGAAGTGACCGTGGGAGCATTATTTCTTGAAGACAATTAAATGCTCAGTCACATTCCACACTAATAAATATTTCCTCTTTCATTACTGATTACTCAAAAGTGTATTTAAATATTATCACAATCTGTTCCTATCAATAAATGTTACATTTTATGGTTATTTACTGAGAAAAAAAATTTTCTCCTTTGATTGACTCTAAAATTTATTTGATGTCTAAAGATTTTGAATGTATTTATTTAAGATTGCTTTAAATCTAAATGAATAATAATAATCAAAACCTAGCCTGACTAATGGACATGGTTTATTTCCCTTAAAAGTTAATTCTCATTTTTCCCACAATGAAATATTTACAAATAATGGCAATCTGGCCAGTTTTCATATTGCATATAAGGCAGTGCCTCACATAGTTCATTTGTTGTTTATGGACCAAGTTAAGTGTCCATTTTAACAGCTACTAAAGTTAAAAAATTCCAATTATACAATGACTTGACAATATCATAAATTTAGAATTAAAGTTTAGCAATTGTTAAGTTTACACACTGTTGGATTGATTTGATATTAATTTTATGGAATTATTTCTTGAATCCTAAGTATTCTCATAGTCAGAAAATGATTTTAGTTCTGGACTTGGTTTGAGATCTTACTATGCTTGACTTTATTTCATTTTGCAATATGTTTTGGCAAAATATAATTTTTAAATGTAGTAAATAGAATACTAGTCTTGAATATTAAGAAGAATGTTAAAAACAAACTATAATACAACAAAGGTTAACATTCCTTAGCACAACTATTTCCTATAGAATAATAATATTTGGGTTAAAATGGATCCAACAAGGCTAGCATTGTTAATCAATGAAAGGACAGAAATATCTCTCTTATTGTTGATCATCTCATAGCAAAGCCCTATGAGCACAAATATGCAACCTGTATTTGTAAGACATATAAGGAAGTGCTAACACTTATTCAGGACTTCCATGGCACCATGCCTGGGTTTCTGGGTTACCAAAGAGTGAAGTGCCTTCATGTAATGGGTTTTACAAGATAAGCAAGGTAAATTATTTTTAAATGACATAGTTTCAAAATTTACTTCTATCAAATGTATTATTAATTATGATTAAATATTGATCACGTTCTCAAATTTTCTAAAGCACTTACAATTTTATTTAAACAATTCCAATATTCTTTTTTTAAAAGATACCATATCCTCTTTAAGTGTGCTTCAAGGAATCATACTCTTTTCTGTGTTCAAATTTCATGTGTACTTGTCTACTTTCAAGATAGAAAAAAATTCAAGTACTTTTTTTGAAAAAATACACATAAAAATGGAGCAAACTCTTTCAAAATGTTGAACACTATAGATTGTACATGCATGGTTGCAATGACTATAGTTTCTTAACAGTTGTTTTTCTACATTTTATCCAATGACCAAGCCAAATGATGTGTCCAGGACATAGTACTTAGACCTATGATCACTGTACCAAAGTTCATATCAGAGATTCATTAGTCTACCTCTGGGAATAGCAGAGCTGGAAAAAAGTCTTCTTTTTAACTTTACTAGGATATCAGGTATCTACAGTTGACAATCTGTGAATTTAAACTTAATTGGAAGAAATCTTTAAATAAGTTACTTATGACACATTTTTAAAAACCATATGGGGGACATACTTTCAGAAAGCAGCATTCAAGACATTCCAAATTCTTGCAAAGTTCAGAAATTACAGTGTTAGCAGTCCCAAACAAAGGTCTAATTTGAGGTGCATTTACCATCCAGCAAATTAAACACGTGTAGATTAAAGCATTTTACTTGGTCTGTGTTCCTACTTTGTTCTACTTCTACTTTGCTTTCTGGTGCAGAAATTTGTTTTTCTTATATTTCTAGCTACTGTCCTATAATGATAAATAGGAAATCAACAATACTGGATCTGTTAAAGCACCTACTGTTCTAAAAATTCTTGAGTTGAGTATTATCTTCCTGAGTTGTGTATTATCACTCAGGTGCTATTCTTCCATCAGAACAACATCTAATCTTAAGGTCTAAAGTCAATCTATTGTTGTTCTACCTGGTTCATTTTTACTACATCTTATCTTTGTTGTACTTTACTTTAAAGCTTTAATTCCATAAATTTCTTCACCAGGCTTATATAGAGTACAGTCAATACCTACAATAATTGCATCAAACTGAAACTCATCTTGTAATCCTTCGAGTACTTCATATTAATTTGTCTAGCCTTCCCCTTTAAAGTTGGACCAGTTTTTCTGCAGTCTTGTTGTATAGTTCTCCTAATCTTTAAGAATTGAGCCACTTATTATTTGCAATATGTGTCTCCGTATTAAATTTATGGTTCTCCACAGTTTTCTCAATGTGTCACTACTCTCTGAGATCTTTTCCATCATCCCTTGTTTGATTTCATTGGATGGCAAGCATCTTTTCTGATTTAACACAAACTGAATATCTTCCTCATTTCTAAGACTAGACCTGAGAACTTCACTTCTTCTCTTTTACACTTATCATCCTGATCTTCAAGAACTTATTTCCCTTTCTTAGCTCTCCAACAAATGTTTTCACTAAGACCTAAAGCTACTTGCTCAGGATGGCCAATGAAAATCAACCACACAACTCCAAAAAGTAACTGCACAGCATAATAGAAGCTACTGCAAGGTCAAAAACGTACATGATCTGGCCCACCAAGAACCTCAATTTATGAATATTCTTTAACTCCCTAACTCCCCGAACTTCACTTAGAATCTAGGCGTGGGTATTTTAATACCCAGTAAATAGAAACTCTGTTCTTTGCCAAAGTTTAGAATTTATTTGGTAATAGACAAAGGAGTCAGACAATAAGAGATCAAAATGTCAGCTTTATTACTGACACAGCTGATAGAACATGATTTAGGTATATGGGAAAAAGGGAGGTTCCTAAAACTGAACCCCCAAATTAGATAAAGTTACCTGACACAGAAAGAGCTGGGTAGTCATAGGTTTCCAGGATGTGAAAGTATAAGCCCCATCTCTCCTTGAAAATAACATCTACAATATTATGGTTCCATAAATATGTTACTCTAGAATCAATAACTATGAACTCACAAGGAAGAAAATGAAATTTTATGTCATTAGCATCTTTGCCTAAAAAAGAGTTTTAGAAGTATCAATATATTTGTATTAATATCTCTTCAGATTTCTTACCTTATTTTTTCTCCTGGAACATATTTAGCTGCCAATTTCCCATATCACCATCTCTGGAAATGTGTTGATAAGGTTTATGACAAACTTCTTAAGATCTGTAAATATATTTTATACATAAAATTAATTGAAAATTGTAAAAGTATTGGTTCAAAATAATTTTCCCTCAAAACTTTAAACATAGTGCTCTTCTGGCTTACAGTTATGTCTAATGTCAATTGATTGTCATTCTTTTATGTATAACATATAGGATTTCTTTTTCCTTTCTTTCTCTCTCTCTCTCTCCTGAAAGTTTGAGTTCTCCCTTTATCTTTGAGGTTCAAAAGTGTCATAAGTATGTTTCTATTCAACTGATTTTTATGTTTCATTTTTCTATTTCATACTTTCAATCTAAAGACTTGTTAGGCTCGTCTGTGTTACATGTATTGACTTAAAAGATTTTTATTTCTAGACTTAACTTTGATTCTAAGAAGCTTATTTTTAGAGACTTATGAGATTAAAGATGAAGTTGTCTGTTTCAGTAGTAATACACCTGTCTAACTCTCACGACAGTCCTTGATAGGCAGTGAATGTATTAAAATCGACAGAATACCCAGTGAATGGTTACTTAGCTCCAGAAATACAAATCCTGAAATATCTGTGTCATTTTTTATTTGCTAATGTTTTTCTCCTGCATTTTAACACTGTGTAATTTTTTATTAAAACATATATGCATGTTGAAATCTTCTGTATCTTGAGACTAAATTGAAAGATACCATGTGAATATTAATATACTGACTAATATATCATTTTCAATCTTTAG